AATGCTCCTTGGAAGCAAGAATGGCCAGACTTCGTCTCACCTGTTTTGGTCATGTTGTCAGAAGGGACCATTCCCTGGAGAAGGATGTCATGCTTGGTAGGGTGGCGGATCAACGAAAGAGGGAGAGGCCTTCAACAAGATGGATTAACACGGTGGCTGCAAAGATTGGCTTAAGTATAGCAGGGATTGTGGGGCTGGTGTGGGATTGGGCAGTGTTTTGTTCTGCTGTGTATGGGGTTGCTATGAGTTGGAAATGACTCGATGGCACTTAACAACAACAACAACATCACTACAGAAGTAGAAAAATGAGTATAGTGGATGAATTTCACAAACATATGGTGCATCTAAGTAGCTAAGCACAAAAAATACATACTCAATATTTTCCATTAGAATAAAGTTCAGAAAACAAAGATAAACCATTGTGTGTTGGTAAAAATGTAAAGCTAATAAATACTTCCATTCATACTCTCGTATCTCCTGTCTTCCACCTCCCCAGCCACATATTCATACTCAGGGTGAATGATAATTTACCCAAATCTAGTCATAGGCCCTATTCATTCAGTAACCATTGAATGCTTACTGTATAGTAGGCATGTGTCACCCACAAGGTAATGTGTAATCCCCACAAGGAATGACAGCTTATTTGGGGAGATAAAAGGAAATATGAAATAAGGTAGCACTATAATACACATGTCACAATAGTTGTATATACATTAGTTGCTTTTAGCTTCTTTCTTTAACCTTAGGGTATAACTTTTATCTGATAGTAGAATACCTACCTGGCAACATTAATTCTCGTAATAACTATGATATACACATCTTACTGCTTCCTGCTATGCACTGCTAAAGTGTAATGGAGATGTAGTATCCTTTACATTTAAAGCACTACTGGCTCCTAAGCCGAAGAAAGGTTTTACTTGTACTAGAAACTACTCTGTGAGACATTTAAGAATGTAGTAACACAGAATTGGTGGGCTGCACTTTCATCATTGGTTGGATACCTCATAATGATGGAAAATTAAGTAAATCATATTTCTAGAGCTTGCAACTCAGGATGGTTCACAAGTTAGACATTTATTATGAGAAGAGTTGATAGTGACTCCACATTCAGAGATTTCAGAACTATTTTCATTTAAAAATTATCTTTTAGTCAACAATAATTATATTTTAATATCATTACATATAACTGTAGAATTTCCTTGATTATGGTATGGATTCATGCAATTACAGATGTTTCGATATGTGTTTAAATCATTTTGTAAGGTGCCGTCCAAGACTAATAATTCTGTCACTGGTTTTAGTATAGGGTAAAGGAATGCAGCATCATTATTTAATCCTTTGCATGCTCACATTCTATAAAATAATTTATTAAAACTCTCTCTTTATTTCCTTATTTGTCAAAAGAAACTTGCATAAACATTTCTATAAATGATAATTAATAATTTTTCAACTCAGACAAACCATCCTTTGCTATAATAGTGTGTTTTCCTTTGCTTTGTTTGACATATTTGGCAATGATGTAGTTTCTGTTACAGAAATTGAGTTTATGTTCTTCAATCTAGCCATGATAACACGTGAGAAAAGAGTAGACAATCCAAACAGAAGTGAGGGTTGGGAGAAAAAGAAGGAAGGGAAGAAAAACATTTGTGGCTCTGAAAAATAAATAGTTAATTTGCCTTCTAATTGTAGTTATTTTCTTACTTATTGGATTATTAAATTTGTTGAATAAGTTTTTATTAAATTATTTAATGTTTTGGAACATTGCATTACTGATAGTTGATAGGAAGTCAGCTCAACCTGTAAAATTCACTGTAAATGTGCTCTATGTATCTTTGAAGCCTTAGTTTCCTAATATATGAAATTAAGGCTTAGCCTTGCTGATCTCGTAAGATTGCTCACAAGTCCAAAGCATGCACAATTCATATTTTAAAAGCCATATTTACTCAGTGTTCTGGTTACCTAGTGCCACTCTGACAAGAATATACCACAAATGGGATGGCCTTAACAAACAGGAGTTTATTCTCTTACCATTTGGAGGCTTTAAGTCCGAGTTAAAAGTGCCAGGCTCTAAGGGCTGGGTGAAAGCCCCCCAACCTTGGGGTCCAGCTCTGCCTCCTGCTCCCAGCCCACTTGAGCTAGAAGCGTTTCTTCACTCAGACAGCTGCTGGCTGCTGAGGCTGCCAAGCCCAAGGTTGACAAGTAAAAAGGCACAGTCCTGATGTTACCAAACCCCATGGCAGGCAATTAATTTAAGTCCATTGTAAGTCCCAAGGTCGGCAGAGCATGCAGGCTGCTGAACAATGACACGGCTACATGCAGGGTCCAAGCGTGCCATAAGCTAGAGACCATTCTCAAAGCTTCTCATTATATACAGGAAGCAGACCACATCCCCAAGGCAGCTACTTAGCTGCTTTGCTAGATCCCACCGTAGAGTTGATTGCTAGTCTCATCATGGGGGATAACTATCACCAGCTGCCCAGACCCTCAACCAGGCCCAGCCAAGTTGACATACAAATTTAACTACCACACTCAGCAATTAAAGTCAAATATTATTTGAGCTTTATAATTTAAGTAAGAGATATATATTACATTTATATTTTCCAAAGTCTGAAAATTTAAATTTAAATTCAAACATAAAATCTTCATTTCATTTTTTTTGTGTGACAACGTCCAATACAAAATGCCCAGTAATTTTAGATAATTTCCATTTATGTTATTGAGAAATAAGACTTTAGAAATTAGATTTCTAAATGAAATTTGGTTGACCTCTTGCTCAGTTCATCTGACAGTATAGGGATTTTCTGTGATTTTAACATTAACTGGGTATCATAGGATCTTACCGTGCATTTATCTGTGATGATATTAAGTGGACATGAGACTGAAATACTGTTTTTTTTCATTTTATCATGTATTGCCTTAAAATTTTTTAGAGCTATGAAGCTAGTATACCTGAGACCCTGCTCTATATGAACCATAAGAAATGATATATATTGATATCTGTTGTCTAATATCCAAAGGAGCTCTGGTGGCATAGTGCCTAAGGCATTTGACTGCTAACCAGAAGGTTGGTGGTTCATACTCAGAAGCCACTCTGTGGAAGCAAGACTGGGCAATCTACCTCCATAATGATTTACTGCCTTGGAAACCCAAAGGGGATCGCTATGGGCCAGAATCGAATTGATGGCAATGAGTTTGGTTTGGTTTTTAATATGATCCAGCACTGATTATAAAGATGCGCCCTGTTTCAGTCCTTTCATTAAGAACATGAATTTCTTCTTATTATTATTTACCTGCCAACTTCATAGTTGTGTTGCTTTTGTCACCCATTTCTTTTGCTATGCTTCCAGAGCTATGCTGCCCCACTAGGCACATTTGGCTATTGAGTAATTGAAATGTGGGCAATCTAAATTGAGATGTAAATTCAATTTTATGTAATTTTAAAATATGTGTGGATATCAAAAGATTTAGTACAAAGAATAGGATGTAAAATATCTCTTTAGTAATTTTTATATAGATTATATGTTGAAATCATAATATTTTAGATTTATTCAATTGAATAAATATATTATTGAAATTTTTCATTTGTTTCTTTTTACCTTCCCAATATAGTTACTGGGGAAAAAAAAACCAAACTCACTGCCATTGAGTCGAATCCGACTCATAGCGACCTCTCCTTGGGTTTCCAAGGTAATATCACTATGGAAGTAGATTGCCCAGTCTTCCTTCTGAGGAGTGGCGGTTTGAACCGCCAGCCTTCTGGTTAGCAGTCAAATGCCTTAGGCACTACACCACCAGAGCTCCTATATAGTTACTAGAAATTGTAAATTACATTAAGACTCATGTTTCTGTTGGATAGCATTGTTCTGGAGTCTATGTCATATTTTTTAGAAGGAAGTCAGATTTAGAAAGAAATTGATTCTTCTCTTTCTGTTCCTATGTACAAGAGTTAGGAAATCTCTTCTAACTTAGTCATATATTTCAACATTTAAGTGACATCTGTTCTGTGTAATTCAGAGGTACTTATGAAAGGTATATTTGACTATCAGTTGACCACTGGTTATATGACAGAGTATTTTCATGTACTTCATAATGCAAGGGATAAGGAAAAATGAAAATCAAACCATCAAGAATTGGAAAAAGGGAACATGCTTCTGGGCTATATAGAAAATGCCATTAAGAAAACTAGTATTTAGGAATTACATATTATGATCTAGAATTATGCTGTGCCCTAGAATGTTTTCTTTGATAATAACTGACATTGAAAGCCAGTGATAGAAAGATATATTTAGTGGTTTCTAAGCTGAGAAAAAAAAATGTATACCAATGGAATATCACTTTGTTCCTTTTTTTTTTTTTTTCTTCTTACATAGAATTGTTATTTGTGAAATAGAAAAGAGCAACATTTCACATGGGATAAACTCCTGGGACACAGAAGTTCCTTATTCTCCTGTATGATGCCAATGAGAATAAGCTTTGATTGTCTCTTCTCCCCATCCCACTCCCATTTCCATGTTTGTTTTATTTTGTTTTGTTTTTCCAAAAAGACATATTTAATGCCCTGCTTAGGTTTATTTTCTACTTACTCACTAAATAAGGAATAGCACTATTATGTTTTGTATTTGAAATTGTAAGGTACATTTATTTTTTCTTTTATTTTTAATTTAACTCTTTGTTTTACAGATGAGGGCAGAAGTGCAGTTGACCAAGCAGGTGGTGCACAGATTGTAATTGACCATATAAGGTCACTGTGCAGTATAACAGATCCCGCCAGTGAGAAGCTCTTGACTGTCTTTTGTGGCATGCTGATGAACTATAGCAATGAGAATGGTAAACGAAACTGAAAATTTGCTTTTATCTTTAAAAATCATCTTTATTATAGTGTAAAACAAAAATATTTAGAAAATGATTAATAAAGAAATCATAAGTGGCATATAAAATTGATAATTATCCAGCATTAAGCTACAATGTTTAAAAAAATACAAAATGGTCTAATTTATTAATGGAACTAGTTTTTGAAAGGTTGGCCTATGTTAATCAGTACCACCACCACCACCTCCAAAAAAAGCAAAATCAAACTATGGTATAGTTTAAGCTTTGCTATCAACATTTTTTAATAAACAGTATTAGAATAGCTTCATGGTGATTCTGTTAATGCTAGGAATATCTTTTAAGTACATACTGCCTATAAACCAAACACTGTCTATATAAGTAAAGTTATTTTATTTGGATATCAGATTACTTCTTGGAACACTAAAATAAATCACTATACATTTGTAAATTTAGTTAACATTAATTTATTATTTGTTATCTTTTAAAAATTACTGCATAGATCAAAGACTCAAATTGCTGTCCATGCCTCATTAGCACAAGTAACGTTTCTATAATTTCTTTGATAATGGCAGTTTAAGTTTTAGTCTTTTGACAGAGATACCTTTTATTTGCATATTAAGCATGTAATATGTTTAAGTTCCATGTGTTCTATAAAAAAATGGCCTCAGTATTTTTTTTCTACTTTAAGTAGTTGTAGGTCCAAGTAATAATGAAAAATAATTAGAAATACTTAAAAGAAAAAAGGTAAACATTGATGAGAAATGGATACTGACATTTGGCCTAGATGTTAATGACAGTAGGGAGTGGTGGGAATGTGACAGATTGAAGAATTCATATCCCATTGAAAGGGGAGAGCTGTTGTTCTTTTCTGGCTAGTAGTTTCTGTGTGACAGTTTGACCAAATACTGTCAGTCTCTTGATTTTAGCATAAAAGCTGAAAATACAGCTTTTCATGCAGCATCTTCTGGTTGTTAAATTTGGATTACATTTGCTTTTTTTTAAATACTGTATACAAGCTAAACAGAACATGTCTTTAGGCTGCATCCTGTCCAGAGGCCACCAGTTTTAAATGTCTGAATTAAAGTTACCTATAATAATGTAAAAAATAGTTTTTGTTCATCAAAGGCTTGCCTGTTAAATTTAAGCTAATAAAAAATGGTAGTCTTTATAGAATTAATTACTTCTATTTTCCTTGCACTATGGTGGAATTATTTTTGAAAAGAAAATATCCTAACAATGAATTGGAGAAATAAAAAGGAGAGTCTGGATAATTCACAAAATGAGTAACTAGTTCCTAAATAATTAAAAAGCTCTGGTGGCACTCTAGTTAAGGTATTGGGCTGCTAACCAAAAGGTCAGCAGTTCGAACCCACCAGCTGCTCTCTGAGAGAAAGATGTGGCAGTCTGATTTTGTAAAGATTTACAGCCTTGGAAACCCTATGGGGCAGTTCTACTTTGTACTGTAGGATTGCTATGAGTCAGAATTGACGTGATGGCAGTGGTTTGGTTTGGTTTTAGTAAATAATTAAAAATTGACTACAAACCCAGGTATCTAAGTTGCATTAAGAAATCATTTGCCAGTTCATGTTGCTTCCTTTTCCTTTCAGTTTCAGTTGGACTTGGACACTTGAAAAAGTAGGGCAAGTCCTAAGTGGCAGACTGGTTTAGAAAGATAAATAAAAGAAACTAGTTATAAAGTTATTATAACACATGTAAGATATAAAGAATTAGTCTTGCTATACATTTAAACTAGTTATTTGTCCTTTAAAGAAGCTGTTCAAAACTTGATACAAAATCATACCAAATGGCCAAATGGATTTTCCAAAGCATCACTGCTTCTAGGATTAAAAAAAAGTATACCAAAAAGGCAATGATTTACAAGCAGAGTGCACAGTGTAAATAGTGTGTTCCTTTTTTGAGAGAAGATTTTTTTTCAAGTGTACAGTATCCCTAAGAAATAACTTAGATGCTTTGGAAAGCTTTTCTCAGAAACTTACTGGACCAGTAGTGTTTTTGTTCCATTATTCTAAAAGCTACAATTTGATTACAGCTTTCAAAATTAAATAGGTAAAACAGAAGTGATGTTTAGTATTTTAAAAGAGCTAATTCCAAACTTGAGGTCTTTTTTTTCTTTCCTCTTCTTTTTGTCTTCCTTATTACGTTCTGTATTTAGGGAAAGCTGTATTAGTGTGCAGAGTATTCCTTTTTCTCTTTAATGCTTTTTAACTTAAATTATATCCTTCATTATTGGTTTATTATTTACTTAATATTTTCTTTAAAATTTGTATTTAAAGACTTTGCAAATTAAGTATTGGATCTTTATTTGATACTGATCTTGTACACGTGAATGAGTCACTGAGACAAAAAAACAATAGAGATTTCTGAACTCAGGAGACATGTTTTATTATCACTGATACATCAGGTTTCTTTTTGTATTTATTATTCAGTGTTAGTAAATAAGTTTCTGCTACAACAACAACAACAACAGTGTATGAATAGAATATTTGAATGAAAATATCTTCTTTCTCCTCCAGCAGAAAAATTTACTCCGTTCTCAGTCCCGTAACTTAAGTCTTATTCATAGTTGGGGTGTTATTCTTTAGCTCCTTGAAAACAGTTTTTGAAATGCCACCAGAGCTCCCTTTTAAAATATGCAAATAAGAAAGTACTGAAAATGGTTGCAAAGTCCCATGAACATAGTTTCCTGAAACAACATTTGCAAATTGTTTATTAGTCCTAAAAGAACTAAGTATGTTATAAGTAACATACAAGTATGTTGTTGTTGTTGTTATGTGCTGTTAAGTCAGACCTGACTCATTGCGACCCCTCCTTGGGTTTCTGAGGCAGTACCACTACGGAAGTAGATTGCCCCGTCTTCCTTCCGAGGAGTGGCTGGTGGGTTTGAACTGCCAGCCTTCTGGTTAGCAGTCAAGTGCCTTAGGCACTATGCTACTAGAGCGTAGTACAAGTACATTATGAATTTCCTCATTGGTTAAACAATTAAAAGTTTTTCTACTCAGGTAAGTATGGAATATCTGAGTAGTAAAAGTTGTAATTGCTTAGCTGGATAAATTAGATTAGATTTTATAATTAAAATCATACTTAAATAGAATAAGGCAGAAATTTTAAAAACTTTTCTTTAGCAAGTAATCCTTGCAAATTCATTCTTTTGGGAAAAGGATACTTGGTTTTCACATGGATAAAAAACTCTCTTCAGTTCTGTGACTTTCCAAAATAGTCTGAGTATTTGACAGCTGTGGCTGGAGAAAAACATCTTGATATTTGAGTTAGAGGCAATTTGCTGAACTTCCTATATTATTTTCAACTAATTATAACTTAAAAATTTTAGTTGTTCTGTAAAGAAGGGACTCAAACATTTTATTATGGATATTTTTTATGTCTTAAATTTCTTGAATCTGTTTTTTCTAGCTTTAATTACCCAGTGCCAAAAGATTTCAGTGAAGACTGAAAATTTTGTCCAAATATCCAGCTATTTTCAAATATAATAGTATTTTGGTACATAGTAGGATCTTGGAAAGTATTTATTGATTCACTTTTCTCAGTACTAAGAGTCTAAAATTTATTATTAACAAAATCAGTGCTTGGAGGAAAAATGTTACTGGAATGCATTTTCTGTATTAATAAAGTTAGAAGCATTATGAGCTCTTGCCTACTACGTTAGTCGATATCCCCTGTTTACATAGATCGGCAGCAGCAGAAATCAGCATTGAAAACATGCTAATAGTAACAGGTACCAGATCTGTGGTTGAAAATTTCCAGTAGGTGATCCACGAACTTGATAAATCTGTATACTTGAGAGTTGATTTTAAGTTTGATCAAAAGTAATCAGGTAGTCTACATAGTAATCTAAACAAAGCACTGGAGACCAGAATAACTTAAACTTTGTTTACAAGTATATTGGTTATTGTTATGTTACAAGTAACCATAATTAATCATTAAATATCTCTTTGCAGCTCTATAATTGAAGGTTTATATTGTTTCTGAATACATCTATATTAAATACACAAAATAAAACTTACTATAACTCTAAATAAACTTATAAATGATGAAAAGCAGTAAAGACCAAAGCTACTTGTTTTACAAAAGCTGCACCATAAGAGATAGAGGCAATCAACATGTCATCAGGAAAGGAAATATCCCTTTCCTTCTAAAGTTATTAACATACAGTCTACAACTGAATTTTTCATCTTATCTTTATCATGTATATCATTTATCTTTATCACATATATGTGTACATACATATGTATCATACAACTCATCAGGTCTTGGTCATTAATGTTCAGTGCATCAAATATATTCTTGAAATGGTCTCTAAATTCAGATGAGATATGCTCAGGATCATACTTTGGCTCTTGTGGACTTAATTTTCTTCACTTTCACCTTGAACTTGCATATGAGCAATTGATGGTCTGTTTCACACCTGGCTCCTGGCTATGCTCTGACTGATGATAGTAAGCTTCTCCATCATCTGTTTAAAGTGTTAAAATGCAAGGATGTCACTTAGAGGACTAAGGAACACCTGACCCAAGCCATAGTAGTTTCAGTCACCTCATATACATGTAAAAGCTGAACAACAAATAAGGAAGAGAAAAGAAAAATCGGTGTCTTTGAATTATGGTGTTTGCAAAGAATATCGAATATACCATGCATTGCCAAAAGAAGAAAAAATCTGTCTTAGAAGTACAGTCAGAATGCTCCTTAGAAGCAAGGATGGCAGCATGACTTCATTTTGTGTACTTTGAACATGTTATCAAGAGAGACCAGTCTCTGGAGAAGGACATCACACTTAGTAAAGTGGTGGGTCAGTGAAAAAGAGGAAGGCCCTCAATGAGGTGGATTGACACAGATGGCTGCAGCAGTGGGCTCAAGCATAGCAATGATTGTGAGGATGGTGCAGGACCAGGCAGTTTCCTTCTATTGTAATGGCAGGTGCTGTGAGTTGGAACTGACTTGACGCTACCTAACAAGAAGAATAA